GCCCGGGAAATCACCTCCCGGTTTCATCTGTGAGCTGACCTCGTTCCCTGATTCTATATAACGAATGCTAAATGCCGATCTTAATGGACCCCAGTCATTAAGGGAAAGCAATCATCAGTGGCCGTTTAAGAAGGTGAGGGAGTATATCATGCATGTTCTCTACAATTTTAAAACCCCCTTGGATGTAAAGGAATACATTTCATTCAGCTGGAAAATGAATCTCTGTGGATGAGTTCATTCCTTCATATAACGGCAATAACATGAGCTATGACCACCCCCCCCACTATGAAAAAGGGGAAGGAAGGAGGAGACTATGTGGCATCTTCATTTTGTTGTGGCAGGAATTTCCCTGTAACACACATAACAATGACGCAGACTCACAAGGACAGATTCCGAACTGAACTTGTTTCTCACTCCTTAACCACTTGGCACGATTCGGACCTTTGCTCTCCGCCATCCACTCAAAGGTTTAGTAAGTGCCTACTCTGCTCATGAAACTGTAAAGGACATGTAAACGTAAATATGACTAGCTAGTGTATCAAACACGGGTATGAAATCTTCCTGACTGACAATGGCCAGAGGATACTGTTTCAAATGAAATGACGTCTTGTCCATAAACACTGTTGTACATCCTGTTTCGTGAAATGAGACTGAAAACATACGCAGATTACACACTGAATCACTAAAACATTGTATCTACCCAACAAATTAAAATGGAAGGGTTGACTCTTCACACCTTATTAACCAGACAGGTTCATTTAGATCCTAATATGGCTTCTCAGCATGAGGCCCACGAGCTCCCACAGAGCGTTATGCAACGTGTTTACACAGGAGCACACTTGTATGCTGACAAGACAGTGGACCACACTCGGGGAACTCACACAGCGCCTGCACGGCCAGCAGATGCTGGGGCCCTCCACAGCTAGGCTCTCTTCTTCAAAAGCAGGATCATTGTCCCGAGGAGACACACATGAAAGCGTGTGCTCTATGAACTTCAAACTGGAGCCAAGGACAGAGCAAAGAGGCAGTAAGTGTGGGGTGTTTTTTTTTTGGTACAATGACTATCTGAAGTTTGAATCACTTATTTATATTTCTTTAACTCTCCTTGGTATTGCTTTCATGTTTACTGCAATGGGAAGGATATACTATGCACTTATAAACTTATTTTTAAATACTGTCTTGTAAAACTAAAGATCACAAGCCAGTAGCAGAAATAGTAAAATAGCTTTAGCTCTCTGATATAAATGCCAAGGAGATCTGAGATCACAGTGACAGTGATGATCACGTCGGAAGCCTGTGCCAACCCACCGTATTTTGGTGAAATTTGCTATGAACCCAACAACCCTCTAAAATGCAAAAGACCCTTCATGTTTACAAAGATTATTATTATTTATTTATTTATTTATTTTATCCTTACCCAAGGACATTTTTCCATTTTTTGTTCAGGTAGAGTAGGAGGGGGAAAGAGGAACAGAGAGAGAGAGAAACATTGACGTGAAGGGACACATCGAGTGGCTGCCATCCACACGACTGACCAGAACCGGGGACAAACTGCAACCGAGGTACATGCCCTTAGCGGGAACCGAACCTGGGTCTCTCGGGACCGCAGGCGGACGCTCTAACCGCTGAGCCAAACCGGCCAGGGCTACAAAGATTATTATTTAAAAAATTTTTTTAAATATAATTTTATTGATTTAAATTTTTTCTCCTTTATCAATTTTAGAGAGGGGAACATTGACGAGAGAGAACACTCAACCACTTAGCCACACCAGCCAGGCTGTTTTTATTGATTTTAAAGAGAGAGGAATGGAGAGGGAAAGAGAAACATCGATGGCTGCCTCCTGTATGCACCCCGACCAGGGACTGAACCCACAATTGAACCCACAATTGTGCCGGCAGGGAATCGAACCCGTAACCTTTTTTGGTGCACTGGATGGCACTCAACCAACTGAGCGACACCAGCCAGAGCACAAAGATTATTATTTCTTTAGACCAAAGGCACAGAAAGTGAAACCATGGCAACCTATGCTTTTAGAACTTTCCAAATAACCACAAATCACATAAATTCCTATGATTTTCAAATTAATTTCCCATATAACTGGCATTAAATAGGTCTGTGGTTCCAATAGACTTACCCCAGTGTTTACCTCTTTATGCCAAGGTATGAAACATAACAGCTTTAAGTGCAGGGCTCTTCACAGAAGGGGGTGCAGCTGATTTGTACTGCTCCCAAGTGATGTTAATGATTGCCCAACCGGGGCACAGGAATGGAAGGCATCAGAAGAGAATTAGCAAAGTAGATAAGAGAATTAACTACATGGAAGCAAACTAAAAATGGTGGCAGACACAGCCAAAAACCCAAGGTCTCATTTCTCTAGTTAATAAATAATCACCACTACATACCGACCAACGTGATGTTCCTGCCATTGAATGAGCCGTTTTCCTACCGAATCTTTTTGAACTGAGAGAAGCTGTGGGTAAGAGTGTCGGCTTTGGAGCATAAAAGAAAGGAAAGCAAAAACCACGGTCAACCCCTCACTAGGCATGTGATCTTGGGCAACGTCCTTAAATTCACTCAGAGCCTCACTTTCCTTATCTGTAGAATCAGGTTAATCCTCTATCACAGGTTTATTATTTCTCATCAACCAAAGAAAATAGAAGCGTTCTTGAAAAGCACTCTCTCTATGCCTTGCCACTAGAGACAGTCAAAACACCCTTAGAGAAAATGTTCATGTTATTGTGGCCCAAATACCAATGAGGTGATCTCTCTTTAATACATTAAGTTGGATTCTCACAGCAGGGACTGGCATAAAACCTTACACAAACTGCATTGCTGTTAGATAATGTAAACCATGGTGTCCATCAATATATTCATGCCACGTCCGTTGCCTAGTCTTATTGCCTTTACTCTGAGACATGATTCTGTTCCCCGCTCTTCCTTTCCACCTCCAGCACTCTTGTCCAGATTCCTGCAGCCCTTGACTACTAAGGGAACAGTATCTACTGAGGTTTCCTCTAGTCTTTTATTTTTCTTTCCCAGGTCCAGGGATCTCTTCCAAGTATAAGTGGATCTTACCACACTTCAAAGACTCCACTAGGTCCAAGAAAAATACAAAGTCCCCACCCAGATCTACAAAGATCTCTGGCGTCTGGCTCCTACCTACCCACCCCAATCCTGTCTTATTTTATATCACTTTCCTTCCATCGCATTCTCCCTTTTCCAGCCGCACTGGTTTTTGTTCATTCCCTTGTATACTGTATTCAAAGCTCTCTTCCTTTGCTATCATTCTGCCTGAATGTTCTCCTGCGGGCCACCCTCCAACTCAGGTGTACATATCCGCCCCGGCCCCCAGCTTGTTACTTTCTCAGCAAAGCCTTCCCTGACTTTCCTATAACTCCTTACAGAAGAACCATGTTTCTGTCCTTCAGAAAATTTACCAATGTATACTTATGTTCTTATTTAATGTATGTCTGTGTATCTTCCCAACTAAAGTATAGGCCTCACGAGGGTAAGAGCTGGCTTCGGTTCCCCCAGTGCCTTAAATATTCAAAATTTTGTTGAATGAGTAATTTCTTATAAGAAAATTTTAATATGTTTAAGAGACCACACAAGATCCATCGACGTGACACCCTGAAAAGATTTTGAGAAGCACTGTAATAAGAGACTAGCTAAAGACTACTTATTGACACATAAAGTCAAAATAAATAAAATACAAGGGCAACTGGAAGATGAGAAACATTATTTTTCCAAGTTTGAAAAATGTATTTTCTCAGACTTAGCACCTCATGTCTTTCAAGTTGTATGCATAGGCTAATTTCATAGCAGGCAAGGTTTTCTTGCAGGACCAAAGGCTACGCGGAAGCTTTGCAGGAAAAGTGAAGTCCAGCACAATGCTGCATGCATCCGTGAAACGGAATCGTCTGGACACCCACGTGGCTTTTACAGCGTGACGGCTTAATCAGAATGTTTCAGTGCAAGTTCTCAACTCTCCAAACGCACACTGCACCGACGGCAACGAGTGCCTGAGTGGCAAGAAGCTGTGCTACAAATCAGGTGATGACACTGAGTGGAAGGTTAGTGCTGTATTTTCTCTGTGCTGTTTTAAATGATCAATTAGTTGTGATACATTTACCAATTGCAGCATTTTAGACATTCGAGAAGCTACAATTTTGTGCTAAAAGGTTGTCTTGAAAATGTGATGATCTGGAAACAGCCCAAGTGTCCATCAGTAGATGAGTGGATAAAAAAGCTGTGGTACATGTACACAATGGAACACCATGCAGCTGTAAGAAAGAGGGATCTCTTACCCTTTGAGACGACGTGGAGGGACCTGGAGAGTATTATGCTGAGTGAAATAAGTCAGTCGGAGAAAGACAAGTATCACATGATCTCAGTTGTGGGACCAAATAGATCCAGAATCATGGATGTAGGGGACAGACGGACAAACCTCAGAGGGATGGGGGTGGGAGGGGAGGGAAGAGAGAAGCCAAAGAACATATATGCATATATGCACAACATGGACACTAGGCAGGGGATGGCAGGAGAGGGTGGGAGCGGGAAGGAAGGGGTCAATGGGGAAAAAAGGGGGACATCTGTAATACTTTCAACAATAAAATTACATTAAAACAATGATGAAAAAGTGTCACAGGTTGCAGAAATCTGATGACGTTGAGGACAGAAAATGCAGCTGCAGACAAAGGGAAGCCCTCTTTTGCTGGGTTGTAAAGGAATTAAGCAAGGTGACAAGGTGGCATGGAGTAACTCCTGACTGGGCACCCCTGGCAGCCTTAGCCCTCAGTAGTTCGCTACTACGCAGGTGCGCCAGCACCTACTCCTCCCTCCCATAAAGTTAGATAAACTGGGAAACGGGGAGGGGTGGGGGAGAATCTAGGGAGCCAGGCCCAGGGCGAAGAGATGACCCTGTGGGCCCTGGAAACCTGGCGAGGTCTCTACCCCATTTTCCCCTCTGACCCCACAGCAAGTTACAGGAGCAGCTCACCTGGGAGGGCTCCGCCGCCCCCGAGGCAGCGTGCGGCAGGCCGGGGCCCACCAGGCTCGGCAGGGCGCTGCCCCGCACGTCCATCACCGCCTGGCCCCGGCGCAAGCGCGCCCGAATCTTCTCTCCGTACAGAGTACAGCCCGGTCCTTCCACCATCTCTCCAGCCTGCACTGGGCCCCAGCGCGAGGACTCAGGGGAGAACTGCTGCACAGTTTAAGCTTTGAGCGGGTACGGGCTCCGCAGAGAGAAGTTCGAATCTCCCGCGCCCCAGGCTCCGCCCCGCCCCGCCCCGCCCCAGACCCCGCCCCGCCCCAGACCCCGCCCAAGCCCCAGCCCGGCCTCGCCCAGGCCCCGCCTGGCTCCGCCCCCGCACGCTCAGACCCGCCCAAGCCCCAGCCCGACCCCGCCCAGGCCCCGCCTGGCTCCGCCCCCGCACTCCCAGACTCCGCCCAGGCCTCGCCCGGTAGGCTGCTCGCGGATGTGGGCGGGGCCCCTGCAGCGCAAGCGCATTGAGTCGCCTCTTAGGCTCAGGATGTGGGCTTATAATGGCAGATACAGGACAGACCGGTGAGTAGAAACCAAACAACAGGACTAAAGTGTAAAAACTGAGACAACTGGGACCTCAGACGCATGAACTTTATTTTCTTCGCTCTGAGTTTTGCCCTTATCCTTGAGCCACTCAGTACATGCACATTTTGTGACCTGGTCCCCTCCTCTGCCCTGAAATCCAAGCTTGTCCAGAATGGCAGGCCTCTGGTTTCCCTTTGCCCTATCAGGACCGGCAGGGAGGAGGGGGACTCAGAGGAGGGTTTTTAGGACACTCAGCGTTTGTTTTTTCTCCTGGTGGTTCAGCATGACTTAGAAAAGATGGCTTTATATACCAAATATATTTTAGTGTCTATATTAAAACCTCTTTATTTCTACATAGCTACGTGAGCCCTGCCCAGATTCGGGCAGCTGTCCTGTTACAGGATGTCCGAGGTGACTGTGCTTTGAAGTTGCTTTGTAAAATGCAGGGCTCTATGTAAATTTGAGGGCAATGCATACCTATTTACATTTTCACAAAGATGCATACATATAAATGTATGCAGCTAGTGACCCCATACAACTTGGTAAATAATGAAAAATCTGTTCCTTTTTGAAAAGTAAATATAGCACATTAAAACAGAATGCCAATGTATTTATTTATTTATTTTTTATCCTCACCCGAGGACATTTTTTCGTTTTTTGTTCAGATAGAGTGGGAAGGAGAGAGAAGAAATGAGAGAGAGAGAGAGAAACATCGATGTGAAAGGGACACATCGAGTGGTTACCACCCGCAAGACCCAACCAGGACCGGGGACAAACTGCACCGAGGCACATGCCCTTAATGGGAACCGAACCCAGGCCTCTCTGGACCGCAGGCCGGACGCTCTAACTGCTTAGCCAAACCGACCAGGGCCAGAATGCCAATTTATCAGTGATTTAATGAACATATCACAGTGCTGTAGTTAAACCTGAGACTTGAATTAGAATATACTAAAGACTTGCATTTAAAAATTTGAAAAGTATTAAGTCTTCCTCTGTGGCAAGAAGTTAATGGTTAAAGTTAGCTGGATCTGGTTTAGGGCTCTGTGTACTTTATTCCCTTGTTCAACTGTCATGTACTCTTCTAGATCCACTGACTAAATAATCAAGAAACAATCCTTCTCCCTCCAACCCAAATTCAGTCATAATCTCTGTGCTTTGATGGAAAAAAGCCCCCTACACCTTATTCACTTCTACTTTTTGATTATATTTTGCTACTTAGCACGATCTCATTTGTTATTTCTAGGTTTCTGCAGGGCAGGAGCTCGGCAGGGGTTGGGCTGGGTGGCTCAGGTTCTCAGGCAGTGGCAGTCAGATGTTAGCCTGGCTGCTGGCATCTAACCCTACAACATCCACTTGTAAGATGGCGCACCCGTGTAGCTGTTGGCAGGAGGCCGCGGTTTCTCATCTGAGGGTCTCTCTACTGGCTTACTTGGCTGTTGTTATGAAGTGGCTGCTGACTCCCCCCAGAGTGTGTGATTCAAGAAAAAGGCAAGGAGAAAGCTGTTGTTTCCTTAATTACCTAGTCTCAGAAATGACACACCCACACCTTCAGGACTCCGTTCAGTAGAATCCATAAAGGGGGTGGAGAATCAAGCTTGACCCCTTGAGGGGAGGAGTGTCAAATTACTTGTGAATGTATTTTAAAACCACCACAATCTTCATTAATCTGATTCATCATGGACTTCTCATTTCTCTTTAAGTGTCGTGTAGTGTTGCATTTGGATCAAATATAATCTTTAAGTAGAATTAGATTTACCACTCCCCAAAGAGCTGAGGAAGAGTTGGGGAGTAGCATTGGAGACATTAAGAGATATCACTGATGTGTCCGAAAGGTCAAGCCAGATTTTGTTTATATGGGACAAGCCTCTGAGTTTTTTTGATACGTCTCTTTCTTATCCTTCCTTACATCCAATTACGAGCAGAATCACATGCATTGTGCTTCTCTAGTGTCTGTAAAAAGAGTTGCCTCACCACAGCAAGCAATCCTACCTTGGTGTGAACTCTTGGTATTTTCAGCTAGGCTTAGACCAAGAAACAAAAATTACCACCTTTTTAAAACCTCCTCTTCGTCCCAGTTCACTGAAATTCTCCCAATTTTTATTTATTTATTTATTTATTTATTTATTTATTAATTTTTAGAGAGAGGAAGGGAGAAGGAGAGAGAGAGAAGCATCGATGAGAGAGAACATCGACTGGCTGCCTCCTGCATGCCCCCCACTGGAGATCGGGCCCACAACCTGGGCATGTGCCCTGACTGGGAATCAAACCAGAGACCTCTTGGTGCAGGAGTCGACACTCAACCACTGAGCCCCGCCAGCCGGGCAGTTCTCCCAATTTTTAATTCCTAATTGAATGCACATCATCTAAGTAGCCTTTCAGATACAGTCAGAATTAGTCTGTTTTAGAGTAAGTGTCACATACTTGTCTCCCATTGGACTAGATTCTCGTTCCTTGAAGGCGGAAGAGTGTCCTGTTCATCTTTACACTTCTCGTAGCAGCCAGGAGACCGCACATAATACATGTTCGAAAAATACTTGTTGATTATGATTGTTAAGATTGAAAAAAAAATGGACCTTTCTGTCTCCAAATACCTTTTTCTCACATCTTTAATATAATTCTTATGAATTGAGAGGCTCAGAGAAGAGGTGGGAACTGAGCGAATCCTGAAGGAAGTGGGGGCCCTAGGCACGTAGGAAGGTCAGCTGAGGATATTCTAAACCAAGAGGAACACAGGAAAATATGTGATGTACTTGAGACGTGATGATAAAAGCAAAGATGTCAGCAGGGGAGCATACCATTGGAAAGGTTCCTGAGGACCACACCGTGGAGAACAGGATAAGGAAGACTAGACTTCATTTTCCTGGCATGATAGGCAGCCAGTGCAACTTTTGAGCTCGTGTAGGGACCCCGAGCCCCAGAGCTCATGATACTTATTTACTAAAACTGAAATTCAGAACATCATTCACATTAGGAACCTCCTCTGCAGGTGGAATCTGTTATTTGCTCATTCTTCATTAAGAAATAGCTGGATCACAGTTGCTCGTGGTATGTGAGGAGTTTCTTACACCATGTTGAATTTTTAATACTTCGAAGAGTCCTGAGTTCACAATTTCTGTTCTCACTAATAATAATCCCAGATACTTATTTAGTGCTTCCATGTGCCAGGCAACGTTTAAAGTGTTTTGAAATACAGACTCTTTTCATCCTTACAACAGTCCTCTGAGGTTAGTCCTATTCTTATCTTTGTTGTACAAATGAAGGAACTGGGGCAGGGAGAGGTTAGGTAACTTGCTCAGGGTCATGGGGTTCTGATTCAATCAGGCATGCTATGGTCTTAGCCAAATATTTTCAGCAACATCAATTATGTTACCAACCAAGTATTTTTAGCAACAACTTAAGAAATGGTGGTTTCGAGGGAAAACGACCTTTCAGGCAGCCTTGCAGGGAATCAGAGACAATCTAGAAACCTCCCTTTAGTATATTAAGTGTTCACATATTTTGGATAATGATACTTTGTTTTAACCCTTCTCCTTAAAAGGTCTGTAGACAGATTTTTTAAAGCTGGAATGATAAAAATGTCACAGGGGGAAATTCTTTCATTTCTGTGTTTTGCATGCATTGCCTGAATATATTTAACAAGGAGAGAGAGAACATGCATACGTTGTCCCCCAGCACCCTCTGAACTTGAGCTCTGAGTAGAGGAGACAGTCGGGAGTGAACCCTACATGCAGGTGTTTTCGGTGGTGGTTACTAGTCTCCAGCTTCTACCCATGAAGAGAAGCTTCATGATAGCCTACCCGAAGAAGAATATAATGCACAGCAACAGAATCCGTTTGGACACTTGGGTTGTTGGAAGCATATGCCAGATGTTGAGACTTTGCAAAGCAGTAGCATTAGTTCATTGTGAAGGCTGGAAGAGCCAGGTCACAGTTTGCTGCCTGCAAAGTCAAAATCCCAATGGCCGCGTCAGCCCGGGCCTCCTAGGTGGCAGACTGCTGCCCCGACGTGCCCAGCCCTTCGGAGAGCTGTGGCATAGGTGGCCAGGCTTTCGTCCCAGCTGGCTCTGGCCAGATCCTATGTGGAAGGGAGTTCATTCTTTAAATGTTTTTTTTTTAATATATTTTGAGAGAGAGGAAAAGAGAGCGATAGAAACATCCATCAGCTGCCTCCTGCACGCCCCCTTCTGGGGATCGAGCCTGCAACCCAGGCTTGTGCCCTGACCAGGAATTGAACCAGGACCTCTCAGTCCATGGGGCAATGCTCAATCCACTGAGCTACACTGTCCGGGCTCTAATTCAGATTTTAATTTAAACATAGTAAGTAAGTAAAGGTAGTATCTGAGCATGAACTTAATTTTGGGGAAAATAATAACTAAATAGTTATTAGACACTCACAGAAGATCCAAAATATTCTTTTTGTGAGGAGTTCTCTCCATCAGAGAGGATGGAAGAATTCTTGTATTTTTTTTTTTTTCTATTTTGAAATAGAAAAGCAAGTTATTTTTGGTTAATATCTTGAAGTAACATTTTCATCTGTCTCATTCAAGTCAAGGCATGACATCCACCATTGCACATTCATTCAAAAAA